GTCATTTTGGACTCTCACTTGAACTTGCATTGTTTACTTTTTTTTTTTTTGTCTTTCAGACCTGTCTTCTCTGTTTTGTTTTGTTTTGGTTTGTTTTTTGAGAGGGAGTCACCCAGGCTGGAATGCAGTAGCATGATCTGGGCTCACTGCAACCTCTGCCTCCTGGGTTCAAGCGGTTCTCCCTGCTTGCACTGCCTAAGTAGCTGGGATTACAGGTGCCCGCCATCACACCCAACTAATTTTTGTTTTGTTTTGTTTTGTTTTGTTCTGAAACTGCATTTCCCTCTTGTTGTCCAGGCTGCAGTGCAATGACGTGATCTTGGCTCACTGTAACTCCTGCCTCCTGGATTCAAGCGATTCTCCTGCCTCAGCCTCCTGAGTAGCTGGAACTACAGGCGCCCACCACCACACCTGACTAATATTTGTATTTTTGGTAGAGATGGGGTTTCTCCATGTTGGTCAGGCTGGTCTCAAACTCCTGACCTCAGGTGATCCACCTGCCTTAGCCTCCTAAAGTGCTGGGATTATAGGCATGAGCCACTGTGCCCAGCAATTTTTGTATTTTTTTAGTAGAGATGGGGTTTCACCATGTTGGCCAGGCTGGTCTTGAACTCCTGAACTCAGGTGATCTGCCCACCTCAGTTTCCCAAAGTGCTGGGATTACAGGCATGAGCCATCCACCCAGCCTTGTCTGTATCTTACTATTGGGGAATTTGGGTTTTTCTTTGCTTCAGTAAGCCTTAGTTTCCTCATTTGTGAAATGGGCTTAATATGAGTGTTGCAAGAATTAAGTGACTTTATTTTATTTATTTATTTATTTATTTTTTGAGACGGAGTTTCGCTCTTGTTACCCAGGCTGGAGTGCAATGGCACGATCTCGGCTCACTGCAACCTCCGCCTCCTGGGTTCAGGCAATTCTCCTGCCTCAGCCTCCTGAGTAGCTGGGATTACAGGCATGCGCCACCATGCCCAGCTAATTTTTTGTATTTTTAGTAGAGACGGTGTTTCACCATGTTGACCAGGATGGTCTCGATCTCTTGACCTTGTGATCCACCCACCTCAGCCTCCCAAAGTGCTGGGATTACAGGCTTGAGCCACCCCATTAAGTGACTTTATATGCATTACTTGTTACCATTATGTTATTATTTGTCCTCAAGAGCTTCTGAAAAGCCTGTACTTATGTGTCTACATATTCCACCATTGTGATCAAATGGCCCCATTTGCCTGGATTTGAGGGGGGTCGTTGTGATGTGGTGGAACTTCCAGTGCTTTAACAAGGGTGAGTTGGTTATCACATAGTTCACTCAGGTTTTTAGTATTAATAAATACTTAATGATTTGATTTTTTTCTTCCTTTTTTTTTTTTTTTTTAAGACAAGGTCTCAGTCTGTCACTCAGGTTAGTGCAGTGGCATGATCACAGCTCACTGTTTTTTTTTTATTTAATTGACACCTGTAATCCTAGTACTTTGGGAGGCCAAGGCGGGCAGATCACCTGAGGTCAGGAGTTAGAGACCAGTTTGGCCAACATGGTGAAACCCTGTCTCTACTAAAAATATGAAAATTAGCTGGGCGTGGTGGCAGGCACCTGTAGTCCCAGCTATTTGGGAGGCTGAGGCAGGAGAATTGCTTGAACCTGGGAGGTGGAGGTTACAGTGAGCTGAGATCAAGCCACTGCAACTCCAGCCTGGATGACACAGCAAGACTCCATCTCAAAAAATAATTTTTTTTTTTTTTGTAACGGAGTTTCATTCTTTTTGTATTTTTACAACCAGTCCAGCCTAATTGAATCTTTATTTATTTTTAATTATTTTTTTTTTTTTATACAGAGACAGGGTTTCGCCATGTTGGCCAGGCTGGTTTCGAACTCCTGACCTCAGGTGATCTGCATGCCTCGGCCTCCCAAAATGCTGGGATTACAGGTGTGAGCCACTGTACCTGGCCTAATTAATTAATCTTTTAGAGGTGGAGTCTCACTGTGTTGCCCAGGCTGGTATCAAACTCGTGTCCTCAACCACCCCACAACCTCTGCCTTGGCCTCCCAAAGTGCTGGGATTACAGGTGTGAGCCACTGTGCCTAATTTTATTTTTTTATTTTTTGGTTTTGAGATGGAGTCTTGTTCAGTTGCCAGGCTGGATTGCAGTGGCATGATCTTGGCTCACTGCAGCTTCCACTCCTGGGTTTAAGTGATTCTCCTGCCTCAGCCTCCCAAGTAGCTGGTACCACAGGCATGTGCTACCACATACAGTTAATTTTTGTATTTTTAGTAGAGACAGTTTCACCATGTTGACCAGGATCTTCTCGATCCCCTAATTTCGTGATCTGTCAGCCTCAGCCTCCCAAAGTGCTGGGATTACAGGCGTGAGCCACCTCGCCCACCAATAGATTTTATTAAAAGCTAGAAGGTCTGGCTGGGCTCAGTGGCTCACCCCTATAATCCCAGCACATTAGGAGGCCAAGGCGAGTGGATCACCTGAGGTCAGGAGTTCGAGAGCAGTCTAGGTAAAACCCCATCTCTACTAAAAATTAAAAAATTTAGCCTGGCATGGTGGCACGCACCTGTAATCCCAGCTACTCATCAGGGCTGAGATAGAATTGCTTCAGCCCTGGAGGTGGAAGTTGTGAGCTGAGATCGCGCCACTTCACTCCAGCCTGGATGACAAGAGTGAAACTGCATCTCAAAAAAAAAAAAAAGCTAGAAGATCTGCAGTTATAAACTTTGATAGCCATTAATTGACTAGATCTTCAACCTAAACTAGAGGTAAAAGCATGGGAAAGAAAATGGAATGGTAAAAAGAACTAGATGAAAAAAGGAATGAAGTAAGCAGTGATATGCAAAATAATTGTCATCTTGTCCCTGCCTGTCATTCCGTCACTCTAGTCTCTTTCCACCTGGCCACATTTCTTTAACTCAGATAAAGCAAGCTCATTGTCACCAGGCTGGAGTGCAGTGCGATCTTGGCTCACTGCAGTCTCCACCTCCAGGGTTCAAGGGATTCTCCTGCCTCAGCCTTCTGAGTAGCTGGGATTGCAAGCACTCACCACCACACCCAGCTAAGTTTTGTATCTTTAGTAGAGACAGGGTTTCACCCTGTTGGCCCAGGCTGGTCTTGATCTCCTGACCTCGTGATCCGCCTGCCTCGGCCTCCCAAAGAGCTGGGATTGCAGGCATGAGCCACAGTGCCCAGCCACCTTAGGACTTTCAAACCAACTATACCCTAAACTTGGGAGTGCTTTTCTCATTTTGACTGAGTTGTCTCATTGTAGTTCAGGTTTCTGTTTAAATGTTATTCTAAAGAGATTTGCTTTGTAATATTTACCAGTTATATTTTCTTGTTTCTTGTCTGTGCCATGCTTTGCAAATACATGTGTGCAGACACTCAGTAGTGCTGACTCACTTGTCCACACTAGAATAATAAGATCTAAGAGAACAAGGATTTCGTCTGTCTTGTCCACCCGATTTTTCCAGCACCTCACACACGTTAGGTGCCCAGTAGATAATTGTTACAAGAATGAATACTATAGGAGCATGTTCATACAGAGTTAATCTAGTCTGGGGCTTCAGGGAAGGGCCTCTAACGAAGTGACATTTAAGCTAAGGAAATGGGTTAAGTGAAAAGTTGGGCAACGGGTAATTGTGATTGATAAAGCAACCTCCGCCTCCCAGGTTCAAGCAATTCTCCTGCCTCAGCCTCCTAAGTAGCTGGGATTACAGGCATTTGCCACCACGCCTAGCTAATTTTGTGTTTTTACCATGTTGATCAGGCTGGTCTCAAACTCCTGACCTCAGGTGATCCACCCACTTCAGCCTCCCAAAGTGCTTCAATTACAGGCATGAGCCACCATGGCCGGCCTCCTTTTGCCATTTGTTCCACAAACTTTGTGACTTTATTCTCCTTCCTTGGCCAGATAAATGGAAAAGCACAAGAAATTCTACACTTTAGGTATGTGTAATGTAATTTCTGTTTCTGGCAGCTCTTCTGTCTCAGTCCTCCAGAAATAAGATCTTGGTTTCTCTGTTTTGTAGTTCTTGGTTCATTGATAGTAGCCATATCTGGGTTCTTCTTGAGTGTTTTCTGGAACTGCTCTGTGTTTGGAGAAACTGAGTCATGAATTTCAATCATATCTATAGGAGAAAAATATTGTTTCTCATTGAGTTTTCTCAGTGCATTGGGTTTCAGAGAGCTATCCTTAGGCTTAAAACAAAGAAGCAGAGTGTAAGTGCAAATATATAAATAGATAATTAAAGCCAGGCGATCATAAAAGCTAACCTCTCAAGTTATCCCATGAGGGTCATTAAATCTGTTTTACAGATGAAGAAACTGAGTTATGCAGTAACTATATGTGACTACCTATAGGCATAAAGTTGAGAGGTAAGAGAAGTGAAAGATATTGGAGCCCAAGGCTTAGAATCATACCAGTTGTGTTTTGCTTGTTATTCTGATACTTGGTTAAACCAGACCACACAGGAACCGTAATCATGCTTCTGGTGCTCCTGTTACCTTTCTTCTGGTGAAAGGGACACTGAGGATCTTTTAAGCAGTGCTCTTCCAATTTCATTGCTGTACAACAAAGGTTTAGACTGCATGGTGTTGATGTGATATAGGGAAAGTTTTGTTTTCAAGGGCACCAGTTGTTACTTTCCTTACTGCTCCATTGTTATTCTAAATGTGATGGAGAAAATAAAATGTTTACCTGCATACTTGTTACTTCTCATAGTTTCTAGCCAACTATGAGAAGTCAGTTCTGTCTGCAGTAATGTGTGTAATTTCACGTGAGGAATATGGTTTCTGCCAATACTCTTATAGCAGTGCCTTTTATCCAAGAATGTTAATCAAAATTACCTGTGGAGCTTTAAAAGATGCAGATGCCATGGTCAAAACAGCATTCTTCACAATAATAAAGAAAACAATACAGTGGAATACTATGGCAACTGTTAGGAATGGAGATCTTTATGGAATAATGTCAAAGACACATTGCATTGTATAAAAAGATAAACTGGTGCTTGCCTAGGCAGCACATGTACTAAAACTAGAACAACACTGAGAAGATTAGCATGGCCTCTGTGCAAGGATGACATGCAAATTCAAAAAGTAGTCCATATGTTTTTTTTTTTAATGAATGAGAGGTTCTTATGTTACTCAGGTTGGCCTTGAACTCATAGCCTTGCCTCCTCAAGCTCCAGGACAACTGGCCCGAGCCACCGCGGCTCCCCATTTTTTTTTTTTGAGGCGGAGTTTTGCTCTTGTTGCCCAGACTGGAGTGCAATGGCGCAATCTCAGCTCACCACAACCTCTGCCTCCTAGGTTTAAGCGATTCTTCTGCCTTAGCCTCCCAAGTAGCTGGGATTACAGGCATGTACCACCATGCCCAGCTAATTTTTTGTATTTATAGTAGAGATGGGGTTTCTTCATGTTGGTCAGGCTGATCTCGAACTCCCAACCTCAGGTGATCTGCCGGCCTTGACCTCCCAAAGTGCTGAGATTACAGGTGTGTGTGAGCCACTGCACCTGGCCCTGACCAACATTTTATTTTACTTTTATTTTTTGATACAGAGTCTCTCTCTGTCGCCAGGCTGGAAGTTCAGTTGCACGATCTTGGCTCACTGCAACCTCCGCCTTCTGGGTTCAAGAAGGCTACTCCACCATGTCCAGCTGAGCTGAGTTTTGTATTTTTAGTAGAGACATGGGGTTTCACCACGTTGGCCAGTATAGTCTCAATCTCTTGACCTCGTGATCCACCCACCTTGGCCCTCCAAAGCGCTGGGATTACAGGTGTGGGCCACCGCGGCTGGCCTCCTGGGTTCAAGCAATTCTCCGCCTCAGCCTCCCGAGTAGCTGGGACTACAGGTGCACACCACCATGCCCAGCTAATTTTTGTATTTTTAATTGAGACGTGGTTTCACCTCGTTGACCAGGATGATCTTGATCTCTTGACCTCGTGATCTACCCGCCTCGGCCTCCCAAAGTGCTGGGGATTACAGGCTTGAGCCACCGCGCCCGGCCTATAATTTGTTTTTTTCAAACTGGCAAGAAATCAGAATCGTGGAAGTAGCTAGCATAGCACTTCATAGTTCACATTTATAGTGGCAGCCAAGAGCTTTGCCCACACTGGCTTCTCGAAGCCTTCTCATACCCTTTCACAGTACAAACTATTTAAAAACAAAATGAAATGCCTAAGCCTGTGTCTGTTAATGTTACTATCTCCTGCAGTCAAGTAGCATTATTCCTTTACATTTTTCAGCTCCTCAGGGGTGGAGGGTGGGTGAGGAAAACACAACAGTACTCTTTCTCTTAAAAGAGATGTGAATTAATTACTCTTGATTGAGATTTACACTATTCCTGGATTCATCTGGGCACTAAAAACAAATTTGGGGTTTTTTTGTTTTGTTTTTAGTTGAGACAATCTTGTTCTATCACCTAGGCTGCAGTGCAGTGGCACAATTTTGGTTCACTGCCAATGTCTGCTGCATGGGTTTAAGTGATTCTTGTACCTCAGCCTCTTGAGTAGCTGGGAATACAGGCATGTGCGACCACAACCGCCTAATTTTTATTTTATTATTATTTTTTGAGATGGAGTTTCACTCTTGTTGCCTAGGCTGGAGTGCAATGGCGCCATCTCAGCTCGCTACAACTTTCACCTCCCAGGTTCAAGCGATTCTCCTGCCTCAGCCTCCAAGTAGCTGGCATTACAGGCATGCGTCACCATGCCCAGCTAATTTTGTAGTTTTATTATAAGAGATGGAGTGTCACCATGTTGGTCAGGCTGGTCTCGAACTCCCCACATCAGGTGATCCACCCACCTTGGCCTCAGCCTCAACCTCCCAAAGTACTGGGATTACAGGTGTGAGAGCCACTGTACCCAGCCTAACTGGCTAATTTTTTTGTACTTTTAGTAGTCATGATTTTGCCATGTTGGCCAGGCTGTTCCCAAACTGCTGAATTGACATTTTCTCAGTAGTTCTCTCTGTAGTCTAATTGCTACATGTTTAACTTCAAAAATTCCATGCTATGTAGCACTTGTCAATTTAAAAGACTCAGAGACTGCTGGGGCATTAAAAACCCAGCTTTGTTTCTGTCTGCAGATTTAATAAACAATACCTTCATATTCCAGAAACCAATTAAAAATCATTGTTTTTTTTTTTTTAACGGAGCCATACCTTTCAGTATCATTACCAGTCACTTTCTTATTGACAAATTGTAGGGAGGAGTCATCTGAAGAGACCTCTCTCTCCTTCCTTTCCTTGTACAGGATGGAGTTTTCTCTGTAGGTTTGTAGCTAGCTGCTAATTGTTTTTTTTTTTTTTTTTTTTTTTTTTTTTTTTTTTTTTTGAGATGGAATCTTGCTCTGTACCCAGGCTGGAGTGCAGTGGCACCATCTCGGCTCACTGCAACTGCTGCCTCCCAGGTTCAAGTGATTCTCCTGCCTCAGCCTGCCAAGTAGCTGGGACTACAGGTGCGCGCCACTACACCCAACTAAGTTTTGTATTTTTAGTAGAGATGGGGTTTCACCATGTTGGCCAGGATGGTCTGGGTCTCTTGACCTCATGATCTGCCTGCCTCAGCCTTCCAAAGTGCTGGGAGAGCCCAGCCGAGCTGCTAGTTTTGTGTGTGCAACAGGGTATTTAGCCTAATCTTGCTAGATGGCCTTACTGAAATGCTATGCTCCGTTATCATTGTGTGACCTTAGGTGATTTATTTCATCTAAATTTGATCTATTTATGAGGTAGAGATAACATCTGAATGGCTTTTCTCACAGGATGGTTTTGAAGATTAAATGAGATCATAGCACTTTGTTAACTGTGAAGTATAATGCAAATGTAAACTATTGTTTTTTAGGAGTCTTCAAATGTAGCAGACTCAGTGAATATTCAGGTAAAAATTACAGCAATTCTAGATCTTTTTTTTTTGAGACGGAGTTTCACTCTTGTTACCCAGGTTGGAGTGCAATGGCATGATCTCGGTTCACCGCAACCTCCGCCTCCTGGGTTCAGGCAAATCCCAGCCTCCCGAGTAGCTGGGATTACAGGCGCGCACTACCATGCCCAGCTAATTTTTGTATTTTTAGTAGAGACGTGGTTTCATCTTGTTGACCAGGATGATCTTGATCTCTTGACCTCGTGATCTACCCGCCTCGGCCTCCCAAAGTGATGGGATTATAGGCGTGAGCCACTGCACCCGGCCTTAGATCTTTTTTTTTGTCTGCAGTATTGTGATATAAACCATACGAGTTGGCTAAGTAGGACTCAAACCCGTTGAGGTTTGAGTACATACTGTAAAGCGACACTTGTGAGTTTGTAATCCAGTTTCCTCAGTTACTAGCTTCGACTAGTAACTAGTAACCAGAGTCAGTAGTACCTAGACTGACTAGTTACACTAGTAATGAGTCACTAGTACCCAGACTGACTAGTTATACTAGTAACCAGAGTTACTAGTCAAAGCTAGTAACTGAGGAGTATTGTAAATAATAAACGAATAGGCAGGATGCTGTGATTCATGCCTGTAATCTCAATACTTTGGGAGGCCAAAGCAGGAGAATAATGTGAGGCCAGGAGTTTAAGAGAAGCCTGGACAACAAAGCAAGACCTTGTCTCCACCAAAAAAATTGAAAAAGTTAGCCAGGTTTGGTGGTACATGCCTGTAGTCCTAGCTACTTGGGAGGAAGGCTTGAGCCCAGGAAGTAGAGGCTGCAGTAAGTTATGAGCAGATCATTCTACTCCAGTCTAGGCAACAGAGGGGAGACCCTGTGTCTAAAAAAATTTTTTTTTAATAAATGAGTAAAGTGTAATAGTACCTTGCACATAATAAGCACTCAGTATTATTAGATATTGCAGTGAAACTTTCAGGTAAACATGGTTGATTGAACCACATGGTTCTAATCCCTTTAAAAAAACCCACACAAATAGCGGTAAAAGGATTTTTTTTTGAGATGGAATTTCACTCTTGCTGCCCAGGCTGGAGTCCAATGGTGCTATCTTGGCTCACTACAACGTCCGCCTCCCAGGTTCAAGCAATTCTCCTGCCTCAGCCTCCCAAATAGCTGTGATTACAGGCACCTGCCACCACACCCAGCTAATGTTTTGGATTTTTAGCAGAGACAGGATATCACCATGTTGGCTAGGCTGGTCTCAAACTCCAGACCTCAGGTGATCCACTTGGCTCAGCCTCCCATAGTGCTGGGATTACAGGCATGAGCCACCGCACCACCCAGCCCATAAAAGGACTTTTAAAGAGACAAGAAAAATAGAAAAAAGACAAGCAGAGAATAGATGTCAGAACAGATGGAAAACTAGTTACTGACCAGAAAAAGCTAAAAATTAAGTAGGGCTAGATTTAGGAAGAGCCAAGAAGGTACAACAAGCCAGTTTGTGTTACAGGATTCTGGAAAGGCCACTAGGTACCCCTGGCAATGGGGGTGCTCATGGAATTCAGAAAATGGGAATTGGCCAGGCTCGATGGCTCACACGTAATCCCAGCACTTTGGGAGACTGAGATGGGAGTATCACTTGAGTCCAGGAGTTAAAGACTAGCCCGGGTGGCATGGCAAAACCCTGTCTTTAAAAAAATAAATTAAGTAAAAGGAACATTGGTAAATAGGCTTATACCCCTGCCTCAATTTCCTCTCTCACCCAGACAGGAAACAGGTTTCTTTCTGGAGAAATTGGCCCAAGGGTGAGGAGCTGTGGATAGTTTGGAAGATGCCCAACAAAATATCTAGGTCTTTGATCAGTCATCCTACAGTGAAACCATGGCCTAACAGCAATGTATTCAACTTCCAAACAATATTAAAAAGATATTTAGTTGATAAATAATTTGGAGGAAGGAAAAACATCTAATAAAATTGCCTACTAACAAAGATGTAATAGTAAAAAAGCTTAGAGTCCAAAAGCTTAATTTCAGGATTAAGATATCTGAGTTAACTAGAACTGTTGGCCCATGTGTACATCTTGTGATATTCTATCATACTTTGACCCTTTATTCAATAATTATATGGCTTCTATAAGGCCTGTCATCAAATTTTTAAAAAATGATAATTGTGGCATTAAAAAAAATAAAATTGCCAGGCGTGGTGGCTCACACTTGCAATCCCAGCACTTTGGGAGGCTGAG